AAAAAAGGCATAGCTTCTAATAGAAGATAGCCATTGAGCACATAGAGGTCGCGGCAGACGATGTCCTGATGGAAGGGATCCTGCACAAGCTGGACGTCTAATGCGACAAAGCAGGATTTCCTGTTGTCCAAGACCCTCAAATAACAGATTTTTAGAAAACAACATTATTTTATGGTCGTTCGATTCATCTCATCAATTGGTAGAGGAGGGATGTCAATTGAAGATGTCCAAATGGGGTGTAGCTTTACTAATTGTAAAGAGAATAGAGGAGTGAACAGTGAAAATGCCCTTTATTTAGTCTTCCCGTTTCATCCAATCCTTATCTTACGAAGAACTTTGATCTGCCACATATTGTACTAAAATTCATTCTTCCTAAACTCCCTTATCCATACATGTAGATTTGACAATTGGTCAACTATTTTAATCATAACAAATAAATGAAATAAATAGTGGGACCATAGAATAGTTAATGCACTTGAAGTTTGAAAGGTAATATGGACATATTGGGCTAGGCTTTGGAATTAAAACAGCCCCACACCCAAAAGCAAAAACGAAGGCTGGGTTACACAATGTGTTTGGTTTAGAATAGTTATACCTAGCTCATGAGCCATAACCTAATAAATTGGTCTTAATTATTGGGTCATTGGTATTTGGTGTTGAAGTTGAATGACATTAAATAGTTAAGTTAAATAGGCTTTTTCGTTAAAATTGAATATGTTGGGCTTGCCCAAAAGACCCAGTTATTTTTCAACAAATAGCCCATAAATTAGTCCAGTCAGTTTAGCTAATTTTTCTTTTTTGGGTGAAATCAATTTAGCTAATTGATTACTGATTTTTTACCATTTATTTGAGTATATTAATTAATTCATTCCTGTAGACATGCGTGTTAGCATGTGCGTGCACATAATGTGTATATATATGGCGAGAAAATTCGGCCTAGTGAAAAGTGACTTTAGCTCTGGTTGGAGGCCTTGAAAATCAACAAGACCACAAGTGACTAAAGCAGGGTTTTGGAAAAGAATTTGGAAGCATGCATGTTTTGTAGTAGAAAACTATGTAAGTAAAATTCTGTGGGAAGCTTCAATGTGCGCATCTGGTTCAAACTGTCAAATGACTTAAGTGTGAGTTTCTTGAGATGGTTGATGTTTCAGAATATGAGTTCATTGTTGAGTATATTGTTAGATATATTTTCTTTTTCCTTTTTTTGAGGATCGATGCTCTGAGGATGGCCAAAGGGTCGAAGGCCGCATTTGTGAGGGTTATGTAAAGTTGTAAACATTATTTCGTAAGGCGAGATCCAGAATTCATTAAGGCCATTCACTCTTTCTCACACAAAATCTTAATACATAGAACTTATATTCCTAGTTTTTACATGGGAAGTAATTTTGCCTCTTTTTTTTTTGTAGGTATTATCAAAGTTAGGACACATGTTATATGATGTTGTCGGGTCTCAGATTCTTCAGACTGGAATTCCAGCTTCCAAGGCTAATCTTATAGGGACAACAGAGGTTTCTATAGCAAGCCTTGCAGAGGTCATGATGTTGGGCATTGCAATAGTCGCGAATGATGCCTCACATTTTGGTTTTCTTGCAATGCTCTCCCTCTCTTCAGTAGTTGTGGCAGCATGGATGTTCTGCCGATGGCTAGTGAATCCAACAGACGCGCAAAGAAGACTTTTCTCATTCGATCCTCAGTTTTGATTTCCGTTCTAGGTAATTTTTTCTTGCAAGCAGCATAATTTATTTGCTCAATGTTGAAGTAGCATGGTCTTTCTTCTATTGATTCTTTTTATTCAACTCATTATGAACTTATATCAAAGCTGAGATACTGTACATGAGGGTTTCCGTCAATTTGCATGAGAAATTTATGCACGGCTCTTTTAGTTGACAAACACACACACACACAGAGTTCTATAATTAAATTGTGGCTGAGGAAAGCCAGCTGTACAAATGGTTGGAGAAAATATTATATATTGGAAAATTATTGCTTTTGAGTTGTTGCATTTATATGCCATCCCCAGTAAGGGGTGCAAACGCTGAACTAAGGAATGATGAAACATAGTATAGCAGTTGATCAGTATATGAAAGGAGGCATGGCTTTGGTTTAGGATGACTGTCTCAGCTTCAACTTCAGTATTACTAGTTCAAAATAGTTTTAATAAGATTAGACTTAAGAACATTCATCTAATGACGGTTGGTGTACCTTGAACAGCTTTATGCTTTGCATACTGATATTTTTTGGGAAGGAGCTTGCCACTGATCCAAGAGATTCGGCTGACCCTTGTCGTTTTACTTACAAGCCCAAGGTACATTGCCTTGGAGGTCAGGTGGTTCTTTGCTGCTGGTTTTGTAAAAACCCAAGGTACATTGCCTTGGAGGTCAGGTGGTTCTTTGCAGCTGGTTTTGTAAAAAAGGTTGGATACGATGAAATTGGTCTTACAGACCATGCATATAGGAACCGAATTGAGAAGTTTCAAACCAAATGTTGTATACTGTATTACCTTCCCAATTTGAATGGAGATTTTTTTATCTTTCTCTGCTATCAGGGGAGCCTTGTACAAACATTCGACTACTGTAATATATCTGGCAATTACGAGTGTATTCGTTGTTATTCTGGTTGTGTCGTTTCACTGAAGATAAGCACAGGATTACATCAAGTGGTGGAACGAAAAAACAGTGCTTACATCCTCAATGCAACCTAGTGTAGCTAGGTAATCAGCTGTTCAGCACAATGGTTCCTATCTCTGTAAGTGTGCTGAAAAGTGATTTCTTCAAACTCTTTTCCTTTTGCTTCTACCCATCGTTAAAATGTTTGGTTGCTTTTAGCTTCTTTAATGTATCTGTTATCTCTAGCAACAAACCAGTCAAATCCAAAGTTCGGACGGTAAATGGAAATTTTTCGCGGAATGGTGAGTTTCATGCATCAGTCTCCCAATAGCAAAAAGATCATTGTAGTGGATTATTTTTGCAAGGTTAAACATAAGCTAGACAAAAATTATGATTACCTGAACGATGGTGGTCTTTATAGTTATGAATTATGATGTTTAGATAGTTGAAGCATCTTGGATTTAATATTTAAAAACTATTTTCCCCTTGCTCGCACTCAACTTCCTTTCTGTTTTGGGCATTCCTTATTGTTTGATTATTGCTTGCCTGAAAATTCAAGTGACTTTAACCCTGAAGAGTGATGCTAATCGTATTCCTGGATTAGTGGAAAAGATAGCACTTCCTATCTTGCATCATCAACTTACTCAGGGATACGCTCAGAATGAGAGAGACGAGAAATGTGGTTTCTGCTACAAACTTGGTTATTAATTGTTGACTGTCAATAATGATCGTTTAGCTGATGTTGTTGGAGTCTTATGATATGTTCTTGAAGCTGAGTAAGAGAAACCCTATTTATTTACACACATGATACATAATTGATTGATGCCTGCATGAGTATACTATATCATTTCAGCAGTTCACGAGCAGCAAGCGCTGATGGAACTATGAAATCTTGGCTGGGAAGATTCTTCCTCACCTAAGGAGGTCATAGCCAATATTCATGATGCAGTTACAAGGACTGAGAGGATCATGGTGGCTTTGTCTCACTCAGTGATATCATTGGGCCAACAACTAGGTATGGGAAAATAATATTAAATTTTGTGCTTATGTTTTATTTATATATTGTTCACTCCTTCCACTTGAAAATAACTACGGCAATGTTGTGTTCACAGCTATATTTTGTGTTATAATGAAACTTACCACTGATTTTGATCTGCATATTTGCCATTCTCCTCTTTTTTTCCCAATTTTTTT